AATAGTTAGATTCATAAGCCGACTAATACCTCAGGTTTGGTGTGGCATTAGGCTTCATATTGTATACATACGCTTTGCTTTACACTATATTAGTGGGTACGAAAGTGAAAATGTGTTGTTTTAGTAGAGGTTTGCATAAATATTTAAGTGGCAAATGCTTAACTACACTCTTAAAAATAAAGGTGCTTCAAAAGGTTCTTCAAGCGATGCCATAGAAGAACCATTTTTGGTTCCACAAAGAACCATTCTTTAAAGAACCATCTCTTTCTTACCTTTTTATAATCTGAAGAACCTTCTTTTGCCACAAAGAACCTTTTGTGAAACAGAAAGGTTCTTCAGATGTTAAAGGTTCTTTAGACAAAAAAGTTATTCTATGGCATCGTGAAGCACCTTTATTTTTAAGAGTGTACTACTGGGAAAATCATTTTATTGTCGTGTTTTAGTACTTTGTATGTTTTTCTTTTTATGACACAATATCATGTAAAGTACACATGATTACATACACAATTAACAGAAATCGGTCATTTTGAAATGTCTTTGAAAATGTGAATGTCTCAAATTATTTTCAATATTTTCTGTATACACATTGAACATCAGCTTTCTACTTTCTGCTTTATGCATTTAAATTACTGTTTCTTCACTCCAATCCATCCAGTTGCATCCATATTATTATACACAATTAAATGTGTTCATGTGTGCCATCAGTGTAAATATGATAAGTGACCAATTCATATGCCTGCTGTTAAACAAGTTTCCACTGTATCAACTCCCAAGTTTGAGCTTGAAACTTAAGACATCAAAGTTGTTTGCTGTCAACAAAATGGACAGAACACATACACTTTCTTTGGATATTAAGCCGCAAAATCTCTAGCTTCTTGTCCTCCTTCTTGGCCTTGTTCGGCACATAATGTAAGACACAGGACATTGGACAGAGACATTTTTCTCTAATCTTCAGTCTTCACCATCAGGGATCTTCAGCCTTTTTCTAGCCAAGGACCCCTTTGTGGATATGAGAGATGAAGCAGAGACCCCCTGTTACACATAGTATAAAACTGGCCTATAAAAACATGTGTACTAAATTAATGTATTGTAAATCTGGTAACACTTTAGAATAGGGAACACATATTCACTGTTAAGAGTTTTCCCTGAACAAAGTCCTAATTTGCTGCTTATTAATAGTAAGGTAGTTGTTAAGTTTAGGTTTGGGGTGGATTAAGGGATCTAAAATATGGTCATGCAGAATAAGGCATTAATGTGTGCTTTATAAGTACTAATATACAGCCAGTATGCTAGTAATATGCATATTAATAAGCAACTAGTTAATAGCGAGCGTTAATTGGTCCTTAAAATAAAGTGTTAAAGCAAATCTTCATAATAACAATAAGAAATGTTTCTTGAGCAGCAAATTAGAAATACATTTTTGAAGTGTTACACTGAAGACTGGAGTAATGTCTGCTGAAAATGCAGCTTTGACATGTCACAGCAATAAATTACATTTTAAAACAAATGATTTTGAATTTTAATAATTCATTTTCATTTATTTGTTCAAAAATACAGTAAATCTAATTAAAAAGTTGAATTTAATCTAATAATAATTCACAATATTAATGTTTTTATTGTACAAATAATACATAAAACATTTTACAGCCTTGGTGAGCGTAAAAGACTTTTCTAAAGAAAAACTTCAATATTATGTATTTAGTGCATTTTTTCATTTTGACAAAACGTTTGTTTGAGATTAAACAATTAGCCTATATAAGAAACTTGTGAATAAGAAGATTTTATTTTGTAAATAGAAATATACTTATACAAAAAAAAATTTGAACCAGATTTTAGATTTTTCTCTAATTGAATCATGGTTCATTTTTTGGTTCATATTCATACATTTGGTATGACTATGAATCATATTGTTTTGTATTGCATTTTCTCTGCAGTATTGCGTTTTGCGTTATATTCTCAAAGCAATTAATAAACAGTTATTTTACAGTCTTCATAAACCGTAGCTTCATTCCAGGTATCTACAGAACCACTGGACAAGACTGCCCTGTAGAGTGATCGGGTAATTCACATCTGGTGTTTTGGTCTGTGATATCTAGTCAGATGGAGGTCATTTCAAAATTGTAGATGCATTCACATGCTCTATAATGATGCACATTTGTTGTTTTTATTTCACATTCTACACATTCTGCGAGCCATCAAAGCTATAAATAAAGACATTTTAGAAATAAAGACATGTACCTACAGTAACTTCCTTCTGAAAATCAAAACTGTGTTGTATGAGCAGAATAGTTTGTTAAGAAAGTTTTGCAGAAATCTTGTTCTTTACTTTCTTTCTCAGTCTTTAGTTTTCTTGTTTCCGCTCTATGTGTCAGTAGTTGTTTGAAGTGGAGGTTCAGCAGCAGGAAGCTTTGAGTGCAGGTGTCTGAGTGGGATTTGCTGGGCAACAAGGCACGCGCACGCACACACACACACACACACACACACACACACACACACACACAGCTGTCTTTGTTGTGGCTACCACCTGGTTAGTGTATTGGTTTACGTTCCGCCACTGCTTTCCATCATTCATTCATTCATTCATTCATTCATTCATTCATTCATTCATTCATTCATTCATTCATTCATTCGTCCATTCAGTCAGTCAGTCAGTCAGTCAGTCAGTCAGTCAGTCAGTTTAGTCATTCAGTCCTTCTCTATTTTTTAGTTATTTGTGTATTTCTGTTAAATGCATTAATCTACAAAGAGGTGTGTAAACAAAAGCTGAAGTGTGGATGTGTAGCATCTGTGTCCATGAGCCACTGTCTGCTTACTACCAGTCAGAACAGTGTTTAAACCCAAAAAGAAAGGGATGAAAAGACGCAGGGACAAACAACCTATGCTGTGGTTCTCACACAAACACACATACAAATACAGGGACAATAACAGCACTGTGTACGGGGAAAGAAGATCCGGCAGGTTGAGATACCACAGGAGAGCAGTGCCTCTGTCTGTCTGCATCTGCTCTGCTCTGCCTGCTGTTTGATGTGCAGGGATTAGGGGAAATCTGAGAGCTCCCAATTTAGCCGAGCCACAGAGATATTCATACGCAAGAGCACATATACGCTCACTTTAGAATACTGTTTTGTCATTAATGAATAACTACGCAGGAACAAATGAGTAACGCACTATTAGCACTCTAGAACTACTATTAACTACATACTGGTAAAAAAATGTATAGCCTGAATGCACTAAGTCCCTTTGGATAAAAGCGTCTGCTAAATGCATAAATGTAAATGTAACTAACAAGAAACTCAGATTAATGGATTAGTAAGTAATAGTGGTTAGTTGAATACGGTAGTTCACTATTAGCTAATCAGTAACTCCTGACAAAAGTCTTTTGAGAGAGAAACAGAAAACTTTTTTTCTTTTGTAAGGTTCTGGATAGTAATTCCTTCCAATGGATTTGGTAACACTTGAGTCATCACAAGTGGGTTACCATGATCGTCACTTTAGAATACTGATCCAAATAATTAATAATTCCTTTAGAAGGATGTAATAACACTTGAGTCATTACTACCCAATACTTTACAAATCCCTCAAAAGCTTGCTGTGATTTCAGTCATTACTAGAGAGCTATCATGTTATTTACTTTAGAATACTGATCCAAATAATTAGTAATCCTTTCTGAAGGATTGCGTAATACTTGAATCTTTACTAGTGGGTTACCACAATCTTCACGTTAGAATGAAATATACGTTTTGCATTATTCACAATAATTATGAACCTGTATACAATTGTTCTTAGTAGCTCTCTGGGAGATATGAAAAAATAGTTATTATTGATTAGCTAATAGTGAACTACTACTTTCAACTTAAAAGGTTAGGGTTAATTTTCTGCTAAAATTGACTAATTCATTAATCAGAGTTTCTTGTTAGTTAATAGTAGTTACTAGAATGTTAATAGTGCATTAGTCATTTGTTCCAGTGTAGTTATTCATTAATGACGGAACAGTATTCTAAAGTGTTACCACACATTGTGGAACTGACTGAATGCACTGATGGTTAATGAATGTATTTCAAATAGGCCTGTTTATTTTGTTGTTGAGAATGAATGCATTTATTTGTTTTACATTGCGTTTATAACAAACTCATATTTGCTATGAGTGTCTACTGCTGCCTAGTGGACAAGATAAGTATTACTATCTCTTTCTCTACAGGATGCTCACGATGTCAAGATTTCCCAAACAAGCTTATATTAGAATGTGAAATGATCTGGAACATACTGGACACTGGACACATTTTGCTTTTAAACATTGTGAATGTTTTTATAAAAGTGGACTGTATGAGAATTAAACCATGCACCAGATAGCATACAAGTATTGTGTGTACAAATATTTTTCAGTCATTGAGTTCATCAAGTTACAATTAGAAACTGATTCAAAACAACAACGTATAATGAAACATTATGTAGAACTGTTATATAAAGTTGAAAGTAAAAGGCATAATGCAAAAGAGCAGCAGCTCTCAACAGGTTATTTCTCAGAGGTAGAAAATGAATATGATATGACACATATGCTGTATGGAGATTATTTTTGTCATTTAACCAAAATAATCTTCTATCAGTATTTATTATTGTTAGTATTCACTTTTGGGTTTTACCTTTATTTTTTTATACGTTCAACGCAATGAACTTATTATCTCATTTAAGGAAGTAGATCTGAAAATCCTAATGGTAAATATTAATCATATGAACCATGTTCACATTCACATCTAGTGGTATGTTCACATTTGTTTTTAGAGTAAAAGAAACAAACCTTGTATGAAACAATGCAATGTATAACTGATACAAGACTGAGCAATTGCAAATTGCAAATGTTTCATATTGTGGTATAAGTTCACAGTCCACAATTTAAAAGATAAACAGAAGAAAATAAAATATAGAGAAATCATATATGTATCAAAACGAGGTGTGCTTTCAACACTATTTTAAAGAGATTATAACATAATTTTTTGCCATAAAAGTAATGTTCCCCTGCGGTTCACCATAATGTTTAGCACCAAACCCCATAATTTAGTGTTACATTACGATTTCCATCCTCTTTCTGACCCACGGAATTCAATAAGCTGTTTTTCTTCCCATAAATAAAAGCATCTTTGCAAAGCCTACATTACATGCGGCAGTCAGAAACAACACAATGTTTGCAGATCTCACCATCTTATTCTTATTGTTACATCAAACTCAGTACATCAAACTCTTACACAAAGATGTAGAAAAATGTCAATTGCTAAGCAGTTAATTAATTCTAAATATAACTCTACAGTACTTGTATGTTAAAGTAATTACTAATGAATTAGTAATTAACTGTAAATATAAAGTATTTGTTTTTCTTTTTAAAAAAATATGAGGTTGATATGTGGAGGATCTCTTTGGGCCGATTTCACAATAATATTGTTATGTTAGTCTCTTGCTTGTAATAGTAGCAGGTGACTGGTAACCATTTTGAAGAGCTACTTGTCATTTGTTGGAGTGATTCAAAAAGCTTCATGCACTGGAGTTGAAGACTCCGTGGAATCCATAAGGAATGTTGACAGGCACTTCGGCTCTTCCTAGCTCTTCAAATGTTTTGGCATCTAGGACTAAAAGGAATGTACTCTTGTCCTACAGAGAGAAGAGAATGAAGGGGTTAAGACAGAAGATGCATTGATAAATGTTATACAATGTAATAATTTCATTATTCATGTTTCAATTTCTTATAAAGCAGGTAAATTATTGAGCTTATTTTTTTACATACATTCAGGGCTGTTTTGTACCTTAACTGGTGTGATGATCACAGACAGGATGACTCCATCATCCTCTTCCTCAGCATTTGGTGAAAGAATGAAGACAGGCTCTGATGGGTAGAGATCAGGCTGGCGCCATACCTGTAAAACAAATTTATTTAGCAAACACGCACTCTTAATTTTGGGTGCCAAGTGGACAGGAAAATTTTACTTTTTAAATATAACATTTTTGGGCTATTTTGTTGATAGTAATTGTTAAAGGGTTAGTTCACCTAAAAATGAAAATTATGTCATTAATTACTCACCCTCGTGTTGTTCGAAACCCGTAAGACCTTCGTTCATCTTCGGAACACAATTTAAGATATTTTTGATGAAATCTGAGGGCTCTCTGACCCTCCCATAGACAGCAAGGTAACTACCACGTTCAAGGTCCAGAAAAGTACCAAGATGATCGACAAAGTAGTCCATGTGACATCGGCAGTGTTGGGGTAACGCATTACAAGTAACGCGAGTTACATAATCAGATTACTTTTTTCAAGTAACTAGTAAAGTAATGCATTACTTTTTAATTTACAAGAGAATATCTGAGTTACTTTTTCAAATCCTTTTTTTTTTCATTGTATTGATTGACAGCTCACCTGTCCCCATGTTGAGAGAAATCAGATGTTAATGTAGTTCTAAAATAAATATGAATATGCATTAATTAATCTCTCACAAAAAAAAAACAGATTCAGTATTCCTCAAAATGAATAAAAATAATGCAACTCAGAATATGACGCAAACCTGCAATAATTAAATGTTAAACAACACAAATATGCGTTATGTATTTAATCCCATTCTATTAACCAATGTCTTTGCTTCTGACCTTCGATGATCCAATTCAACCATACTAATAAGCAAAAATTACTCTAGACAAACAAGTCTTTTTTTATTGCTGAAATGTGTTGAAATGTCTTCTTCTGCATTCTACTGTACTGTCACAAATTCAGTCCATGGACTTCCGTTTATTCACCACCAGATGTCACACTTTCCATTACATTGACTGCCATGGAGATCCTCAAATGTGCAAAATATCTAAGAGAGAGACATTTTGCAGTCCTAAATAGATGAAGGCTCTCCAATAAACAAATGCACTTTTTGTGTTGCGTATTGTTTTTGGGGTTTCTGATCTTTGCCTGTTTTCTTGGATTTCTCCCTCTCGTCTCGCCCCTTTGATTCTGTCTGCTGATCGGTGACCTACGCTAGCCCTAGGACTATTCTTGTGTTTTGCCCGCCATATACCTGTTTGCCATTGTTTTGACCCTGCCTGTGTACTACGTCTCTTTAATAAAGCCTGCAGATGGATCCACACGTCTCACGTCTCGTCAGCCCCGTTACAGAATACTCAGCCAAACAAGGATCCAGCGGCTTTTCCAAAGAATATCACAGTTGATCGTCATGAGTCAAGTCGAGTCACAGTTGTTCTTCCTGAGTTCAGTCGAGTCACAGCTGATCTTCCTGAGTTCAGTCAAGTCACGGTTGATAATCATGAGTCAAGTCTAGTCACAGCTGTTCTTCCTGAGTCAAGTCTAGTCACAGTTGATCTTCCTGAGTCGAGTCTAGGCACTGTTGATCGTCATGAGTCGAGTCTAGGCACTGTTGATCGTCATGAGTCGAGTCTAGGCACTGTTGATCGTCATGAGTCGAGTCTAGGCACTGTTGATCGTCATGAGTCGAGTCTAGGCACTGTTGATCGTCATGAGTCGAGTCTAGGCACTGTTGATCGTCATGAGTCGAGTCTAGGCACTGTTGATCGTCATGAGTCGAGTCTAGGCACTGTTGATCGTCATGAGTCGAGTCTAGGCACTGTTGATCGTCATGAGTCGAGTCTAGGCACTGTTGATCGTCATGAGTCGAGTCTAGGCACTGTTGATCGTCATGAGTCGAGTCTAGGCACTGTTGATCGTCATGAGTCGAGTCTAGGCACTGTTGATCGTCATGAGTCGAGTCTAGGCACTGTTGATCGTCATGAGTCGAGTCTAGGCACTGTTGATCGTCATGAGTCGAGTCTAGGCACTGTTGATCGTCATGAGTCGAGTCTAGGCACTGTTGATCGTCATGAGTCGAGTCTAGGCACTGTTGATCGTCATGAGTCGAGTCTAGGCACTGTTGATCGTCATGAGTCGAGTCTAGGCACTGTTGATCGTCATGAGTCAAGTCAAGTTACAGTTCATTATCATGAGTCTAGTCAGGTCACAGCTGATCATCCGGAGTCCCGTCACGTAACAGCTGATCATCCGGAGTCCCGTCACATCACAGATGATCATCCGGAGTCCCGTCACGTCACCGCTGATCATCCAGAGTCACGTTACGTCACAGCTGATCTTCTAGAGTCTCGCCATGTCTCAGCTGTCCGTCCAGAGTCTCGTCACGTCTCAACTGTTCGTCCAGAGTCACGTCACGCCTCAGTTATTGATTTCACCTTGAACTTTTTGCTTTCCAGATCCATCTTAATTAGAGAGTCACCCACTAGGTGACGGAAGCCACAACCATAGTAGTATCTATAAGGTTTGGTGTTATATCTGGCGTAGTTAATATGTGGAAACTCCAAACCACCGTAGTCTTTCAGGTCTTCGCCATGGAGATCCTCAAATGTGCAAAATATCTAAGAGAGAGACATTTTGCAGTCCTAAATAGATGAAGGCTCTCCAATAAACAAATGCACTTTTTGTGTTGCGTATTAGTCACTGTTATAAAGAGCAAATAATAAATTAAAGATCTCTACTTAATACACCAAGTCTAAGTCCTGTATAGTTACATTACTGTTAAAAAATTTGGGGTTGGTGAGATTTTTTATGTTTTTGAAATATGTCTCTTATGCTCATCAAGGCTGCACTTATTTGATCAAAAATACAGTAAAACAGTACTACTGTGAAATATTAAAATTTAAAATAACTTTTTTATTTTAATACATGGTAAAATTCTGTATTCCTGTGATTTTAGCAGCCATTACTCCAGGCTTCAGTGCCACATGATCCTTCAGAATAAACGTATTTTAAAAAATAAAATCTTTCTGACCCCAGTAGTGTTGTAACCAGCATAAAGACAACACCTGATTTTTGGTATGGCAGACAGCGGTAGCGGTGCTGTCAGGCCGTGTGTTGAGATTCTGTTCCAGTGGGGTTTCACTGGTGATGTTGAGAGGCAGCACAAAACGACGGGGATACGGCCTGCTCATGGTGTTATACATCTGAGAGAAACAGAGAGCCACAGGACAAATGAGAATGTGATTTACAGTATGTAAAATTATATAAATCTGTGCTTTAGAAATGTGTTGCTGTTGTTATCATTATTAAGATTATTATTAAGATAGACAGACAAGGAGAGTTTAAGGAAGAACATTACCTCATCCAATGCCTCTCCTGATTGACGTAGGTTCTGGATGAGGAAGTTGTTTATGGACTGGCCGTCATCAGAGCAGCACATGTCTAGCATGAGGAATCCATCCTGCTCAAAAGCATTGATCTGATGGAAGGTGGACAAGGCCTTGGTGTAGTACTTCACTGGCATCTCCTGCAGAGAGATGCAGACTAGTTGGTTAAAGTGTAAAAGTCGCCTGAAGAATAATCGTCTTTATGTTCTCAATCAGCTTTCATTTAACCATATTGAAGCAGAATCAGCAAACCAATATATTAATAAACTCATATGGAGACCACAGGAAGTCCATCTGCTTCTCATTGTTCTCAGTGCCTCTGTGAGACTATTGTCATGATTGTTGTCTCACCTTTCCAGTTTGTTTGTCAATAAGGTGGAATATGGTTTCCTGGTTGGGGTCCCAGTAAACACCCTCATTTAGCGATTTCCCCCTTAGTCTACCAGTCACTATCTTAAACAGATCCATCTTAATGGGCTGCTCGATGAACACTACATAGTTCTCTGACATGCCTGAAAGGTTCAGGAAAATAAAACAAAGGCTTTTCAGTGCTGCACATTGATATGATCGCTCCATTCAGACTATGGTTATACCATTCAGAGCAATAAAATTACACACAACTCTATTGCAGTAGCTGTGCAATAAAATTACACGAGATTCTTCATGAGAAGATAATAAACATGACAGATTTTCTTCATCACTCACCAAAGCTGTGGTAATAGGAGGGTTTGGATTTGTCACGAGGGGCAATTGAGCATAATATTTTGGCTCCCTCTAGAGTATCTTCTGGGCCGTCTCTTTCTGGTGGCACCCTGATGATGTTATAGAAAGCCCCTATAAAACACATCACAGCCCAACAACCTGTCTCTTAATCCTGAAGTGGCATTGCACTGAGATTGGTCAGCACATAAGGATAAGACAGGAATCTAACCTTTGTTCCTGTATGAGTTGCCCATGTTGTAAGCTGTGCCATCTGGATCAAAGTGTGGATGTGCAGTAGCACCGTTCACAGCAATGAACTTGCTCCAGTCCACCTACAAGCAATCATCCTTCTTAGACATGACGGGCTGGTCTAGGCTGGTGACTATAGGCAGGTTATTGCTCATACCTTCTGTTTGGACTCCAAGGTATCTGGATCCACTCTGTGCATGCAGTTTGTCTCTGTGCTGACGTAATAGTCACCCTTGTATTTAACAAAGTTGACACTGGCATTATCTGTTGGCTCTGGAATTGGAGAGAGGGGAATTAGTGTCACAAATATCTTATCTTTTTCGTCTTCTTTTTTTAAACTTTGAGGAAGAAATGGATTAAAACAAAGTTTTTGACTTTTTTTTTTTGTAAATTTGTATTTCTTCTTTAAATTTGACAAAGCTGCTTGTTTTCAGACTTTTTATTATTAACATAAACCAGGATTAATTATATTAAATTAACCATGATTCATTTTGTCACAAGTTTAATGAACTATATTTTTCAGTAAACATATTGAGGGGGAAAAAAGACTATCATTTTAGTTTCAACTTGATTTTATGTGTTATGGAGCATTTTAATTTAGCTAAGAGTTTAGGTTAGATTCGAGCTGCTTATTTTACTGGGATTATTAACTGTATTAAACTACACTTCCTTCATTTTGTGATTCTAGAAGTTTTAAGAACTGCATGTTCCTGAACATGAAAACAGTATTGTGATATGATTTCAAGTTAAACTTAATTTAATGTGTTTTTACCATCTGAATTTAAATGAAAATTTATATTAGATTAGCGATATAATTAATGCCCCTGATGGGCCCCGGCCCCCTGGATGAGAACCATTTTAAAATGATTAAATAGTTTGTCCCCCCCCCACATTGATTTTAGTTGTGTAACCCACATATTCAAATGGAAACCTCATTGTGCCATTAAGTCACACTTCCAACATACTGACAGTTTAAAGAACTGGATTTTCTCTCTAATGGTGGGCTTTGTTTAATCATTTCTCTAAGCATTTATCCTAAAGATTGTGTGCATTTTTATCATATGTTACTGTATAATTGCCTCAGTTGTAGTGTGCAGAACACTCTGCCAACTCCATCTCAACACTTTAGCACTGTCACTTTATTTAATCTTAATTGAGTGCTTGTGGTGTCTGATTTAAATGTATTCTCGTGATTACAGACATACAGTTGTTTGTCTAAAATGACTTTAGACACATTTCTACTGACCACTCCTGTTGTGCTCTTGAGCAAGGCCCTCCAGAGACATGCCTTGTTACTCTTTCAGAAAACAGAAAGAGCTTTTTGTAACATTTTTAAAACAGTAAGCTATTGGTGATTTTCTAAACCTATTGAGATCCATTTCACCATGGCCGTCAGCAACTGTCATTCACACATATATTCACAATTTCTACATACTTGGCATCTCAAATCTGGACAGGAAGCGCTGAAAGAAGTTCTTGCAGGGATCAGGTAGAGCCAAAGTGCCAAACTCTGATACTATGATGCGGTTCCTCTCGCTGTTCTGCGTATACGAGTCGCTGCACAAAAAACGGCTTCTGTATGTCACCTGACCGTCCTCAATCTGAAAGCGATGCATCAAGGCCATGCCATCAAACCAGTGGTTATAGCTGAGGAAACATTTACATCGGCAAGTGTCAGCCTGAATGTTCATGTTAGAGTTTGAATTACATATAATAATTGTGATCAAACGGATCACAAATCAAAATTTTGAATAACGGTCTTCTGTGAAAGGTTGTCATGGTTGTTACCTACTACTTCTACCACTGCAAATATCAAATGATTTATTATACCTTAGTTTCCATATGTCATTAGCTTTATAGCCAATTACTAATTGCAAGAAACAGAGATTATAAAATGTATTTAGTTAATTTATTTTACTATTCGTCACATTCTATTGATTCTAGTCAAATCAAATATCACCATATGTTATATACTCACTGCTGATTCCCAAACTCAAACTTTCCTGGACCATTCCGCAGCAGACTCCCATGGATCCAGGTTGGGATGGTGCCTTTAACTGTGGTGGGGATGGGCTCAGGTGTCTCCTGTACCGAACTTACCAAGGGGGTGATGTTTGGCAGCCCATGCACTTTTGTGAAGTATGTTTTCTGAGCAGCAGCTGCAAAAATCCAGATCGACATAATATACCAAATCTGATTGCTTTGCAAGTTAACAGATCAGAATCTGTTCATGAAAAGAATAATCAGAATAATATTATACAGATGCACTTGTGATAATGGTAATAAAATGTCATTTTTGAGTATGGTCACTTTTGGTAATACTTTACAATAAGGTTACATTAGTTAAAGGGGTCATATGATGCTTTTTTAAAGATCATTATTTTGTGTATTTGGTGTAACAGAATATGTTGACAGGCTTTAATGTTCAAAAAACATTATTTTTCAAATACTGTACATTATTGTAGGTCCTCTATGCCCCGCCTCTCTCAAACGCTTCGTTTTCTATGAAGTCCCTCCTTCCGACAAGCACAGTCTGCTCTTATTGTCCAGCTGACCCAGTGCATTGTGATTGGCCGAACACCGCAAGCACTCGTCGGAAATGTAACGCCCCTTACCATAATTGTGAGCTTCATCTTTCAAAATAAATGTAAAGACAGAGCCCGAAAGGGGAACAGAGTCGCGTGACAGACACAGTGATGAAGCTGGTATGTGTGCAGTACACAAGCTGACTTCACTGTGATGTTACCCCCTCTCTCTCTCTCTCTCTCTCTCTCTCTCTCTCTCTCTCTCTCTTTCTCTCTCGCTCGCGCACACACACACTGCGCAAAACTCCGCATTTGAACAGTCATTAGCAAATAATTGAACTAATAACAAAACAGTAGCTGATTCAGAAGCGCCAGATTGTCATAGCAAAGTCAGAATTACCTCCTCTCCTAGGTTCACGAAACGGTCGTCCATAAAATGCATCTTAAAGATTTCTAAATGCATCTACTTTCGGAAGGCCAAATAAAGTGCTTTTGTTTTCGTCTAGAAACACACAGCGTCTCCCTGACATGCTGCTTCAACACTAACTGCGGTTACTGAAACCACTCCTTCCTTCTTTGCGTGAACATTTGGGCAGCATTATGCAAATATTTCCACATAGTGAGGTAGATATGTGGGGGCGTGTTAGAACGAGCCGTTTTAGGGGGGCGTGGCAGAGTCTTAACTTTGATAAAGAATATCTCTTTGGTTTTGAGACTTTAGTCTTTGCAATTTCAGGGATGTTATCTATGCACAATCAGTTTGTTACACTCCAAAGAGAAAGGAAAACTTGAAATCGCATCATATGACCCCTTTAACATCAGCTAACAATGAACAAAACTTCTACAGCATGTGTTTCAACTTTTCAAATTAAAAGTAATATTTGTTAACATTAGTTAATGCACTGTGAACTAAGAAATAATGAAAAACTATTTCTTTACACTTTATTTTAAGGTGCAGTTCGTACAGTGTAATTATACAATTACATTGTAAGTCATATTAATTAACAACATGTCCTTACTATAGGGTTACGGTTAGAATTATGGTTTGGTTTAGTAGCATGTAATTATGCATATTTTACTGTTAATATAGTAAGTACATGTATATATATACTGTATATATAACATGTATAACAAGGACAATGTATAATAAAGTGTTCCCCTATATGTTTTACTGACATTAATAAAGACTAATAAATTCTTTAAAAATATATATTGCTCATTGTTAGTTCAGTTTAGCTAATCCATTTACTAATGTTAACAAATGGGACCTTAGTGTAAAGTGTTACTGACACTTTTATATAGAGGTCCTCAGAGTCAACAAACTTAACTGCAAGGTTAGCTAACCCCGAGTTATATTAAATTATATAGCCGTAGCAAGTAACAGATTTGCAGACATACTACTCTGCTCAATTATGTCAGGTGAAAGAACAAAGTAAAGGATTAAATTCAACAAATGACAGAGCTGAAATGGCAGAGAGTCAGCGATATTACAAAGAGAAGCATTACCTTAGAAAAACAGTCCCTCTCTACTCTACACGCCTACATGTACTGTGATACACTAATGCATAAATAATGAAGCAACTACACAGACATACAGAGACATCTTTTTCAGAAAAGTCAAAGTTGTGATGTACAAATCAAAAGTAGATCAATTTAGTTATTCATAATTAAGCTGCTAAATTTAAACCTAACACTCAAAAGCCATGGGACTTAAAGTACATCCCACCCTCTCTCATGTGAATACAGCAGCTGCTTTGAAACACATGTGCTTTAATACACTGCATTGCTTCACACAAACACATATATGAACAATCACAAAGCCTGTGCAGTAACATACAACAAAAAGTGAAACTTGCAGACGTGCATCAGTGCAGAAGAGCTCTCAGATTCTTACCAATTGTTTGAGGCTTTTTGCTAGACATCCTGTAGAGAAATATGAGGCTGCACCCTTGATCAGATGAAGAAGAAGAGTGTATGAAAAAATTGTCAAGAGCAATAAAAACTATGTGGACACAGATGGGAGGAGACAAGCTCCTTTTATGTAAGTCGGATCTTTTGCCAACCCTGTTACATCACACAGGATTATATGATATGACACAGCAGTGGAGGGGAGGGCAGTGCGGTGCTGGCTGGGATGTAATGTGAAATAACAAGGCTGAAATAAATATCAGCTGAACATACAACAAGAATTTGTGTAACACAACAAAATGCACATCAAGCAGTTACATTTTATAACATTTTGAGAAAATGGCCTCATATTATCACATGCAAAAGTGCATAATTTAATAAATGGATTTATGTATAGACAACTATTTAGTTTTTTTTTTTAACTTAGGCAATATCTTTTTCTTTTACATACTGTGTCTTGTTCTTTGTTTGTCTGTATTTCAGTTTGAGTTTAGTTGCCAATGCATGCTAGACGTCACAGCTCTTTGTTACGGTTAGCAAACTAAATGAGAGGGGTAAAAAACAAAGTTATTATAAGATGCAGAGATAATCAGTAATAAAAGCTTACTCTTGCTGGTCCTAAATGCATTTTTAAGCACACTTGTTGACATGATTAACTAAAACAGGTAAAACAACATATACAAGAGACCGCAGTAGGTTACATTCTTATTATGCACACTCGCGCAGAGCACTATGACTCACGTTAGCTACGTACACTTTACCATAATAAACGTCCTGGTTATGAGTAATGAGTTAACGTCTGTCTCACTATTTTCTTATACCATCAACAGATTCAGTTTTGTGACTGTAAAATATTTCTATGCACAACATATAAAGTCCATAGTTCATAATGACAATATCTATAGACTAACTATAAGATATCTATACACCTTAATAATAAAGTATAGCCTATTATTATTAGGGTTTTTATGGTTTTGGAAAGGGAGGAAAACGTGTAATTAAACCATTGTGTTCATATTCTGGGCTCTGCATGTCTTTTAATGTCACTTAGTCTTAGTACATCAAGCCAGCATTTTAAAATGCTACAAAAACAAGCTCCCGGGGATTTGATTTTGGTTGTCATTTGTTGAAATAAATATAAGAAATACAGTGTGTTCATGTCTGTCCGCTGACTATGAACCACAATCTCTGATTCTCCTCCGTGGTCATGGAAAAGTGAGTATTTACAATAACAATTATACTTCGTCAAGACAGTCATAATAAAAGACCAAATTAGGTGTACTGTTTCTCAATAAATTGTACTATGTACAGACAAAAAGATGTGCCCAGAATATGAACGCAACGTGCAAAGTTTCACTTTTTTTTTTCTCCCATAGAATGATGATGAATGAATCCCAATGATTCAGTGAGTCATTTGCTTAATTCTTGAATGACTGAATTATTTTTTTAACACTCATTTCATTTGATTGGTAACAGCCCTACAGTTTCTTATTATTCTAACTTAATTTAATGATAACATTTAAGAATTTGATATTAAAGATGATGACACATTTAATAAGGATAGAGAAAATTGTTAAATGTGTTCATATAACTAGAGAATTTGACTACTAAATGCAGTAGTCAAACTAAATAGGTAAATGTGCCCACAACAGTCTGATATAATTATTTACCCTTTATTTGTATTCTGTGAAGAGATCAAGGTCCTACTAGTGTCTCAGAGAGCTGCCCATCCAAACTGTGAGTGGTTCAATATTAAAGTCTCAGCTGCTGGTGCCAAGTAAAAAATGTTGAACAAATATAAACTGCAATAATTTTAATTTTTTATCACATCATATGTTTGCACTACTTTAACAAATCTTTGCTGATTCCCACTACTAATGAAGAGTATAAGACTTTTACAGCATAACAAATTACTACATGATTTATTTTCATTTGTGGTTAGTAAACTATAAATATATATTAAAGCTATATAAATATAAACATAAAGCTATTTGAAAATAAAAAAAATTAAATCTCAGCAGTTTATTCACTGTACAATAACCAGATTGTGTATTTCCTCTATAGAATCTTAATATTAATAAGAATATTACATTATCATGCTTCAAATAAAACAAATGCACAAGTGTGTTCAAGTAAATTTGTTGGTTTTAAAAATATTGTAAGCACAGATGTGACCTACACAGACACTGTGAATATGATCATGCATTGCCAATAAAACTGAAAAGCATTGACCTCTGCTGGACATTGACAATAACTGCTGAAATTATAAATACTAACATAGTTACTATACATAGAGTCTTTCATAAAGGGGCGTCCTGTGTTCTCATATACAGTACTAATAAGGAAAAAGCTCATTATTAACAAGCGTGGTGGTCATCTGAAATGCTCAGTAAATACAGGTCATGAACAAAGCATTGTTGGCTTAATGAAGAGCAATGTGAAATGAAAAGGATATTTCACATTGCTCCTCATTTAGCCAACAATTCTAATGTTTTGTGAAATATCACTATGACACATTTTATTCAAACGTGTAACATTTTAAGAGACGAATGTCTTCTGTTAAACTGAAGGTATTTACCTTTTCAAAAGACTTGGAAAAGTACCTGAAATGGCGATACATCTTTTAAGTCAGTCAGTTTAATTCTGGCCATATAATCATATTTGCCAGAGCATGGCAACTGCCTTGCAGAGACCAACATCATGGTAATTGAAATAGCAGAGACCAAAGAACGTGGTTGTGGAGAGCAACAAGACGCCAGCTTTAGCCAGCTTGACCTTAACATCACCATAGACATAGTCTATTAGGACTTGACCAATCCTCCTGCAGAAGGACAAAAACACAGAAATAAAAGAATGAACTAAATAGAATACAGTGTTCGTAGGACATTTACTTAATCTAAATACTGCATAACTTCACTGATGACTGAGGTGCCTCAGTAATATCCAACTTCAATAAAACAACCGATACAACAAGCATAAAGCAAGGCTCTTCAGATACACAGGAGTGAGAGATACACACGCTCTTACCAGTGTCCATGCAGTGTGAGAGCTGCAGCAATAGAGTAATCCACTAGTGGACCAGGACACAGGTATGCTGCTGGAACCATACCTACAGAACTATATTCAATAGCCCGTTCACCCGTCCAGTGCATGGAGGCTGCCCTTGAACTTGAGACAGCTGCAAAAACAAACAGAAATTTTAATTTTGCTAACGTCCTTTGTAGTAAAAGAGTTTAAGAAACAGTATCTTTTTACTACAGTCTAATAATTAGTATAATAATTAGCTTTTTAGTATTTTTGCACAAAAGGAAATTTGATTGTCATTTTTATAATATTAATACTGACTAGTGTTGCCTGCAAACATACTGCATTTTTGATCATTCAAATAGTAACACTGAGCATTAATGTCAATGCCTTCACTTCAATCTTAATTTTATAAAATATTCAAAGAGAATTTGGTCCAATATAAATTTATTAAAATCATGTAAAATATTTTTTACTGAATGTGCAATGTTCAAAAAACAGTTCATTGGTCACAATATTTGTGTTCATTGTAGAATTACTGTTGTAGCATTACAAATGGAGAAGTGGATAATCATGGGAAAACTATAAATAAATTTTTAACAATGATTAGATATCGCTCACTGGAGTGTGATGAAGCTGCATGGATCCTCCCTGCTGTCAATCGGAAAGGCTCAACATCTCAATTCTTCCGATAGGCAACCAACCCACGAGACAGGTGTGTGTTGCAGAGAAGCACAGCTGTACATGGTATAAAATATTGCATAAAAAACATTACATAAATCTGTGTTAACATGTCTGTGTCTTATTCATTCGGTCATCCATGATGACTTACGTCTTATTCCTCTTTGGCAGAAAGTGCTTAAACGAATCAAGCTCGCCATTACTGTTAAACTACAAGGTCAGATCAGATTCATATGTTTGTGACAGGTTTCTGTAACAGTGAGTTATTCTCTCATGAATCCGTTGTTCACCATAACTACTCGATAACGCCATCTATCACTATGGGGTAGAGTAGGCAACTACCAGAGTTAAAGTGCACGTCTTTAATCTTAAAGTCACCATGAAATCAAAATTGAAAATTCTTATTTTTTAATGGAATACTGTAGTGTTTATTATAAATAATTTATCCGTACACTTCATTGTTTATTTTTTTTATTCATGTGCCCTCATAATCTTTAATCAAAAATGTTAACCTCCCCTCCCCCTCAATAGGACTCATCTTCTCTTCTGGTCACGAGCTATGGCACAAGGGCGGAGCTAGTGACTGAGGGGTAAACGCTGGAATAAACACTGGTGAAAAGCTGAAGCTGATGCTTCACTTTATAGCACTGACACCAGTCATGAGGGGTATGTTACCCCTAAACATTGAAAAGATATTAGGATATTACGACAACATTACTCTTAGAACATCGCAAACTAATTTTTTTCATGAATATGACTTAGCCTGATGGAGGACGTGCTCAGTCATTCAGGCAGTCTCTCTCTCTCTCTGCGCTGCTTAGGCATGTGCTGTGCTGTTGATCGCCATCGTCATCCTTAATAAATAAAACATTTATTCATGCTTGGGTGTCCGCTGTGAATCCAGTGGAGAGAAATCCCCCACCACTAACTGCAAACTGGCATTCAGATCTGCCTCCATATTGTTAGCAACGCCCCAATTTCCAACGATCCAATCAATTCCCGAAGGACGAAATCAAGTCCCGCCCTCTCATGTCAGATGCCGTTTCCCTCGGATATACGTCACAGTAGAGAAGAAAAGACAATCGCAACTTCCGTTTCATGCCGACTTTAATAGAAATACATAGCAATAGTTCAAAGAAAAATATTTTATTTACAAAACGTTCTAACAGGGTTACAATGCATGAAATGCATATTACCTTGAATGTTACATATAGTAAGGAATAGTAATAAAATCATTATAAACTTAATATGAAAAATTGTCTTTTTAAAGATTTACCAAAATTGGCTAATACATAAGATACATTCATTTTAACAAAATAAGTAAAGTCAACTGAACACTTTGAAACAGAAATAATTGGATAACTGTTTCTTCAGAGTGATGACAAAATAAGCATTTGGGTGAAATTTGGGCCAGAATTTTTTCCCCTCCATTGTGTATGACAAGAATAAGCATCTATAATGAGCCGTCGTGGCGACTTACCGGAGAAGACGCTTCCGTTTGGAGGCAGCGTGTGGTGACACTGCAGCTCGGTTAAACCAGCAGTGTTTTCTTATATGGTGAAAACTTTATCGGGACATCAAACCAAGAAATGTGATCTGTCAGATGATCCTGAGAAAAAGACAAGATTGTCTGTTGACAGTCGAATACGAGGCTTTACTAAAATGAAAAAGAATAGTGAATGGAAGAAAGTTGTGGCGGGTCGGGCACAACTATGCTGTGAATGTACCAGAGTGGGGAGAGTCTGAAATAGGAGATAGTGACGATAGTATGGATATAAGCCAAGGACGTGTGAGAATGAAGGAAAAGAGAGGAGATGAGTTAGCAGGAGTCAGGTCGAAGACAATAAGAGTCAGTGGAGGTGTTGGAGAAGGATACGAGGAAAGAGAGAAGGCAAATGGCGACTTCAAAATTATATTGAGATTTGCGGAGGAGAAGGGAATTTTGTCAATGAATCCGGTAAAGTTAACAACCGTTTTATAAAATCAGGTCGGTGATATTAATATGGCAAAGGTGTTGAGAGATGGCAATTTGTTGATTGTTTGTAGAAGCGAGGAACAGAGACAGCGGGCTGCTAGGATGAAAGAAATAGGGAGGAATAAAGTGGTGAGTTTAAATTATATTGAAAGAGGAACTAAATGGTGTAAAGGAGTGATCTGGGGAGTGCCAGTCAGCGTTACTATGGACGGCAAACTTAAAGGGAGGAAGGGTGAAGGGTGTTCGGAGGCTCCAGGTATCCAGGTAGGGAGTAAGGCTAGACAGCGAGTCTATCATGGTTGAATTTGAAGATGAAGTGCTTCCCAAAAAATTAACTCTAGGCTTTATGAGTTATAATGTAAGAGAATATGTACCAAAGCCAATGAAATGTTACAACTGTCAAAGATTTGGTCATACAGCCAAAACCTGCAAAGGCAGAAGAAGATGTGCTAGATGTGGAGAAGATCATGATTATGAGCAGTGTGGTCACAAGGAGCAACCCAGATGTTGTAACTGTGGTGGAAATCATAGTGTGGCTTATGGTGGCTGTGAAGTACTGAAAAGGGAAAAAGAAATACAACAGGTGAGGATTCAGGGTAAGGTGACGTATTCAGAGGCTGTGAGGATAGTAAGTCAGAGAGGAGGAAATTGAGAAAGAAGCAGTACAGGTAAACAACTTGATAAGGATTCAGATCAGGCAAATGAAGAGAAGGTGATGGTTGACATTAAGAAACTAGTCACATTCATAGCAGGAGTAATCAATGCTAAATTGGGGATCAAGTCTAAAACAGAGAATACAAATTATTGTAAAAGCAGCAGTCCAGCATCTAGATATCAGAGGACTGACATGGGAGGAGGTTAGAAATTATCTCAGTGTCCAAACAAGTCAAGAATAGTCAGGAACTAGATAGTGTTGATAATGGTTCTCTGTCTGCAATGGAATGCGAGAAGCTTATTGGCTAATGGACAGGAATTTAAAAAGTTTATAGATGATTTGCCCATTAAGCCAGATGTGATTTGTGTACAGGAAACGTGGTTGAAACCAAATTTGGATTTTAGAATCGTCGGTTATTCATCTGTTAGAAGTGATAGGGAGGAGGGAAATGGAGGGGGATGTGCTACATTTATTCAGGAAGATATTGCATTTAGAGAGGTGAGTATAGGAAGTGAGCAAGATTATGTTGGTGTAGAGATATGGACAGGTGAGGGAAAGTTTATAATTATTAATTTTTATAATCCTTGTAAGAGGCTAGATTTAGATAACTTAAAACAAATTGATGGGATGGATAGTGATAGGGTATTAGTATATGGGGATTTTAATGTGCATAGCACTTTATGGGGAGGAGTTAGAACAGATACAAATGGGGAGGTCATAGAAGAGTTATTAGAGGAAAAACAAATGGTTTGTTTAAATGATGGGAGAGAGACTAGAATAGATGTGCGCACTGGGAACACTTCAGTGTTAGATTTAACATTAGTGTCTAGAAATCTAGGTAGAAGATGTGAGTGGGATGTGTTAGAAGACACAGCAATAGGTAGTGATCATTTTCCAGTGTTTTGTCAACTACCATTGGAAAAGAATAAGAGGAAAGGTGAAATGACAGGGAGACTGATATTTAGTAGTGCAAAATGGGAATTATTTAAATATATTTGTGAAAAGGAGATGTGTAAAATAGATTTAAATGAAGATATTGAGAGGGTTGAGGAAAATATTAGAACAACTTTAATAGAAGATGCAAATCAGTCCATTTCTAAAAGGAAAGGAAAAATGGAGATAAATAAATAAAGCTCTCAGAGAATTAAGACAAACTCATAGTTTTCAGAATTTAATTGTTTTTAAGAAAGCACAAGCTAAAGTTAGGAAAACAATACGTAGTGCAAAGAGGCATAGTTGGCGAAGTTTTTGTAATAAAATAGGAAGAGTAACACCGGTTGGGGATGTTTGGGGAATGATCAAGAGTATGAGAGGAATTAGAAAGGAATACCAGTACCCAGTATTAAAGAGGGATGAGGAAGTAGCAATTTCTGATGAGAAGAAGGCAGAAATGATTGCAAAATAACCGGTTAAAATACATAGTTCTCATAATTTATCAGAGGAGGCTAAGAGAGGAAAATGAAGACTAGAGCAGCTCATCCTGGAGTTCTGGAGAGGAGGCATGAGAATAATAGTGTTTGGGATGTTCCATTTACTCTGGGTGAAATTAGAAGATTAATAGCAAGATCTGGATTAACATCTCCTGGGGAAGATGGAATCTGCTATATGATGTTAAAACATCTAGGTACTTTAGCAGATTTGAAACTCCTAGGTCTATATAATAAAGTGTGGGATATGGGAAAACTGCCTAATGCTTGGAAAGAAGCAGTGATTATTCCTATTAGGAAGCCAGGGAAAGATCCTTCAAAACCGGTAAACTATAGGCCAATAGCATTCATTACTGAAAGACTGACATTTTATTTGGAAACAAAGGAACTTTTATCACCTTATCAGAGTGGATTCAGGAGAGGGAGAGGAACAATGGACCCAGTTGTACAAAAACAGAAATCAAGAAGGCACAGGTTAACAAAGAATCAGTTATGGCAGTTTTCTTTGATGTTGAGAAAGCATACGATATGGTTTGGAAGGTTAAATAGAATAGGAATTTCAGGAAGAGTATTTAATTGGATTAGATCTATTCGAGTTAGAATTGGTACAGCTTTGTCCAGGAAGTATCTGGTAGATAACGGTACCCCTCAGGGTAGTGTCATTAGTCCATTGCTTTTTTCCATCATGATAAATGATGTTGATATTAGTCGATCTTTATTTGCAGATGATGGAGCATTATGGAAAAGGGGAAGAAATGTTGAACACATTAAAATAAAGATACAAGAGGCAATTAATGTGGTTGAAAAATGGTCATACTCATGGGGATTTAAGTTTTCAGTAGAAAAAAACTAAATCACTCATATTTACAAGGGGAAAAAAAGGAAATCACTGGCATGGAGGTAAGAATATACGGACAATTAACTGAGCGATTTAAAGTCTTTAAGTTTTTGGGAGTGTGGTTTGATTCCAAATCGATTTGGACTGAACATATTAATAATATACTCAACAAATGTAAAAAGGTGTTAAATGTTATGAGGTGTTTATCTGGATCTGATTGGGGAGCGAGCAGAGGTGCAATGAAAAGCGTATATATAGCATTGATTAGATCAGTATTGGATTATGGGAGTTTTGTATATGGATCGGCAGCTAAAACATCATTACAAAAGTTAGAAGTAATACAAGCTCAAGCATTGAGATTGTGTTGTGGTGCGGACAAGTCGACTCCTGTTGATGCTCTGCATGTGGAGATGGGGGAAATGCCAATGTGTTTCCGACGGGAACAGCTAATGATGAATTATTGGGCAAATTTAAAAGGAGGTACCAAGGAGGAAAATATAATATCAAGGTTAAGACTGGGTCACACAAAACTAAATAAGACATTCTATCTCATTGGAAAACATCCCACAGGTCTGTGTGAGTATTGTCAGGAGGAGGAATCAATAGAACATGTTCTATGTCACTGCCAAAAATATATTACAGAGAGAAATATTCAGAAGGACACCACAGGAGATACTAGATGTAAAGCAAATACTCGGTCAAACAGGAAATTATAATTCTTTAATTGTATTCTTGAGGGAAACTGGGTTAATAAATAGAATATAAAGTATAATTGTTGTTTTTATTTATATATATATATATATATATAAAGTTCTGTTAGTCACTCTGGTCCACACTCCAGTATAGTAGGTGGCGGTAATGCACCTTAACGTTGGATGCCACCCGCCATAAAACATGAAGAAGAAGAAGAACGAGTCTTCATGACGTCATATTTTTGCGGCGGAAGTATTTGTCTGTACGTCCATTCCTGTCAGTGAGCGCAGTTGCGTTATCCTTCACATGTTCCCGTGCATATAATCTGTCAGTAAAGTTTCGCCATGGCTGATTTTAATTCTAGCTTTGATATGCCGTCGGCTAGTTCATCTGAAAGCGCTGAAGCTGCGGAGCTCCAGCGTCTGATTGCAGTAGAGCAGCAAAAGGCTCAGTTTCAAGCGCAGGTGGGTAACTCTTCAGTACCGCTTTGCTGTTATTCAAAACCAAGCCTGGTGGGTCTTAATCCTGTTTAACACTCTATTCAGGTTCACAACTTTACGGATGTTTGCTGGGATAAGTGCATGGACAAACTGAGCTCCAAGATGGACTCACGAACGGAGACTTGTCTCGTTAGCTGCGTGGAGCGTTTCATCGACACGACGCTCACCATCACCAACCGCTTTACGCAGATGGTCCAGAAGGGCGCGCACTGATTGAAGGACACCGTCCTCAAGGACAATTAGCCTACCACATATTCTTTATGCTCCCGGTGTACGTCCAGGAGGATGTTTTACTGCTCTTTAGGGGTGTGGTGAACCCTTTCACTCTTGCGGAAAGCCCTTTCTCGTAGACTCTAACATGTTTATTGATATGTGTATCGCTGTTGTACTAATACAGCCAGCAAAGAACGATTATTTCTGCAGTACTGACTGTCCACATCTGTAAACCTGACTGTTTAATTGTGACTTAAAATAAATCAGAAGTTTCAATGAAACAACCGTGAATGATCTTCTGTTTTGCAAAAGAACACAACATTTGTGAGCTGTTTTTTTTTATTATTAAAAGAAGATATTTGAAAGCTTTGTTTTGTAGGGATTCGCTGTGTATTGGCACCGTATCCAATATCAGCTAATACTCTTATTTAATTGTTATCTCTGCCTTGGTTTAGATCATCATCTGGCAACTTCAAGGAATGGTGATAGATTATGGCAAAAATATATCCCTTTAAATCAGTGTTTCTCAACCCTGGTCCTGGGCGCCCCCCAGCACTGCACATTTTGTGTGTCTCCCTAATCAAACACCCCTGATTCAAGTCAGCTCATTAAAAGAAACTCCAGGACCTGAAATGGGTGTCAGATAAGGGAGACACAAGATGTGCAGTGTTTGGGGGCGCTCAGGACCAGGGTTGAGAAACACTGCTTTAAATGTACTTTCTTTTGAAGAGTGTTTTTTGTTTGTTTTTCTTTTTTTTGCCCTTGTCTGCATGAGTATGTGCATGTGGATGTAATGATGACAGAGCTGAGTGCATTTGTACATTTATAATGGTATGATTCCTAAATTTTTTGAATAATTTATTTGTAATTTGATCTTGTGTATCTTTTATCCTATATATTTTTGACATTTAGCAGTGATATACATCAAGAAGAAACAAAACTGTTTTGTACAGCAAATGTTTAACTTGAAGGAAAAAAGTTTGCCAAATACTTTCCTGCAAAGACTGTCTTTTTGATTTTCACCAGTGGTCTATACTATTACTACTAGACAATAGCACGAGATAGCTCTTTATTATACACTAGCTCTTAAAAACTTACAAATTTATAATCAGTTTAATTTGATTTTGAATATAGTTTCTGGTCTACTGTAAAACCCCCAATCTGGTTTTGCCTTCTAATCTAAAAAAATACGATATTGTAAGAGGACTCCATATGACAGGATTAGTCTTAAGGCAGCAGATGTCTGCTTCTTGGCTTTGAGGCTATGCCCTTCTTTGTTGTTTAGTGTGCTCAGTACAAAGTGTCCTTTGATAGAGCTGTGTGTGTAAATCTTGCAGGCAGGGCTGCTTTCAGCCATTCTAATTAAAGTCAGGAAGCAGATAGTTTAGCTTACTGCTCTTACCTGATTATCAGAGCATACAAGAAGCCGACAGGGTCCTCTCAAGCAAAGGCTTTGATGCTTTGAAGCAAAACGGACTGGACACTACCAAACACACTGTCAGTGTACGCTAGCAAAAATATATCTTAAATCCATACATTACGTGGGATTAGATGTAGCTTTGTACTTTTTGTCAAAACTGTAACATGGGAAGACATTTCAGTTTTTAATGGTGGAGACCATTGTGATTAAATAATCTACATAACCAGGAAAACAAATAACATGTAAAACAACAAAAAGAGTTCTGCTGAGATTATCTAATCTTCTTAAAGAAGTACTTAAAAGCTCAGAATTTATAGCGTTTTTCTGTATTATTCAGTTTATTTATTATTATTGTTTTTTACTATATTTTCCATTATTATGGCACTATCTTTGTAGTAAGTACAAAGCACAAAGTTAAATTGTGATGAAAGATTTGACTGTGTACTTGGAACACTAGCTTGTGATGTAGAATTCAGTCTCAGTCTTATCAAGGATGCCCAATAATATGCCTCAGTTCTCTCTTCAAACATCTTCAAAAGAGAGCCCTTTGAAAAAAAACATATTAGAGACATTGTGGCAAGATATGCAGAAGAATGATCAAAGAGTATTTTCAGAATGGTTGACTTATAAAAAAAAAATCCTTATCCCCTTTTCCATTTTTCTGACTCTGCATATGGTTACTTTCATGTATTATCCTTTTGTGATAATGAATCTACTGGATTAAAAAACATCCGGATATAATAGGTTAACGTAGGAAACAGTATCTGGCAAAAATCCTCATATCTTTTTTTATTTTATTTAAGGTCCCTAACCTTCACAAAGACCCACTGTATGTACTTATGCCAGGCTGAAGCTTCAAGATCAACAACTTCTTAATTAAAACTTGTGTATAATAGGATCTAAATCTGGTATGATCTGTGTCAAAAAATCTGGCATATCTGTGCCATCTCTTCCTGTGTCAGTCTGACAGAGTCTGAAAGAGCCCTAGTGTCTGAAGCTTCACTGTACACGTTGAGCCTGACACCTCAGGAACAGTAGGACCTGTGTTTGCTTTGGACAGCAAAGGGGCCATCTGGGAAATCCATCCTGGTTTGGCCCCTCTCCATTCTCTGTCAGAGTGCTGCTGTCAATGATACGTTCATTATTTCCTCTGAAATCTGTAGTACTTAAGAGATTAGGAACTCTGCGTCAATGAGGTCAAGTGTTTCACACAGCTAACAAAATAGCATGTTAAAATTATAATAAAAATGTTATTATGGTTTCAACTAGCTGTGTCACACTTACTGGTGACACAGCTTAATTATCATTGGTTTAAACAACAGTGACGTTTTGTTATAATGGATGGAAATAAATTACTTTAGTTGCCTTGTTCATATGTATTTTCATATAAAAGTAACAGAATTTAAATTACATCCAAGTTATTAGCAACTAAGCACATCAGTGTGAATCATGTGATGTTCACCTTTAATCTTAAATGAGCATGATGATGTTGACTGCATCTGAAATCCCACACTTCCCTACCATATAGTAGAAAAACAATATGTGAAAAGAGTATATCTGAATTCACAGAACAGTAGGTGAAAAATACCTGGATAAACTACTACTTCCGGTGAAATTCTAAAATACGATGGACACCTTGGCCGTGTCCCAATATCCACACTTGTGGACTTGGCCACTTGAGAGTGTGTGTACACAGCAGGAAGTAAGAGCGCAAAGCTGTTCCAGTTCTGAAAAATGGCTAAGCTCAGTGCCATTACTGCACGGTCTGAGCATAACCCATCATTCATCACATTCAGTACCTCAAGTGAAATTGTGAGATGTCGAGAAAAACTTTGCAGTGTAAGTTCATTTAATTCAATATTATATATAATTTGTGTAAAGTGTACATATTTTATTGGTACAGAGATGAGTATTTTTGTTATGTGTGTTTGTGTTTTTTTTGTAAAAGCTTTGCAACTGCTTTTTATCACTTAATTAGAAGCACCACAATGCTTCTAACTACTGAACATAAATTTAGAATGAATTTTAAAGTGCAAAGTATTAGTTAAAGTATTAAAGTATTTGTATGTGTCTAGGGTAAACATTTAAATTTGGGTATGCCAAATCTAGGCGGAAACCCCCTAAATAACCCGTGCTTAAGGAGTTAATACATTACTTTTTTTTTTATTTTTTATTTTTTTTTTATTGAACAATGTGAACTTTACAACCATAAATGGCCTGGTACAAAATGCTACATTTCTTATTCAGACAACAGACAAGCATCATAATGTAAGGAGGCTAGTACTAAATTAGTTTTAATCGTTTAATCACCACAGCGTCTTGTCTCCATTGGCAACACGCACGATTTGTGTCGACTGCAAGCGACGTCGCAGGTATTGGAGAGTGCAGGTGACTTCGTAATTTAGTTTCTTTTTTCTTGTCTTCACCACCTGGCTACTGTTGTAAAATGTTGAGAGATTCAAACAAAAAGTAATGAAGGAGTCTATGATTTGAACCAAACGGCAACCTCCCGCTCTTTCCCGTGAAGCCAAAAAGGAAGTAATAAAATAGAACAAAATAAAAAATAAAGCCTGCAAGTGACATCGCTAGCAGAAGCGCAAGTGTCTGAGAATGCAAGTGCGAGGCTGCAGCCAGACCCTTCTCAACTTTACAGCAGAAAAAAACATGTTTACAGCCTGGTTCAAAAAATGGTCTATATAGCTAATTTTGCCCTTCCTGACAACTGTGAGGTGGGTGAATTTTTTTTATAACTCATCCGTTTAAATTATATTAAGCCTTAAAGTTCTGCATAATTAAGGGCGTGGCCACTTGAGTGGCAGGGGGATTGCTGCTGCTGTCACCCCCCTCATCTGCGTCCACTCCGTCCAGCTATTTTTAGCTGAACAAAACAGTTCGTTTTGCTGCTTGATATTGAAAGTTGGTGTGTCTTATCATATTATTTTAATGTATTATCTGAAATTATGAACACACTGGTTTGTAGTGCAAACAGTTTTACCATTTACTGCACGTTGTTATTCTCCTTGTTATTTACCTATAGCGGTTAATGAACCGGAAGTCTCACCCATAGGCTTACTTCCGCGTTGAAGAAAAAGGTGGATAGGTGGGCGTGGTTTCAGCAACCTGCTCCCGCCTCTGCCCATTTTCGATTATCCGGGAGTGATGACGTGCTGCCAAGATGGCGACGGCCCGCTCCGCCCACTTTGAGCTTCAAAAACACTCCTCAAAAATCTACGGGTGACGTCACGGACACTACGTCCATGTTTTTATACAGTCTATGGTTTGAGCACAGGAAACATGTCAGGCACGCAGTTCAATGAGGGAGCCAGCTGTGAACTCAGTAACGATTCCTACCGATTCACTGGCTCAGAGTGAGCCTGATTTCAAACCGCTAAAACACCTGACCTCACCATCGAGTTCGAGTCTTTTTTGACTGATCCATAAAAAGAACCGGTTCACAAGAGTCGTTTGTTCATGAATCGGACATCGCTGCTCTCGCTGTGTTCGCGGTAAACATGAGTTCGTAAGTTACTTCAAATAGATGACTTGACGAAAAACCACTGAAGGACGCACACGAAACTTTCTTGGCTGAGTTTTAAACTCTTGTCGCATTTGCGACTGCTATAATTGCAGTTTGGAGCTGGTATTGTGGCAAAAACAACAGTAACTGCAGCGATTTCCTTTCTACACAGTCATTAAAGAAGCT